AGCACTTGCTGGCCTTCCTGAGACAGGGCAGTTTCTTCCTCTGGCTGCCCCACCAGGACAGGCCTCTGCAGCTCAGAGAAGTAAAGTAACGTACTCCAGCCACATGGCTGAGCCTGGCCCTTGTGGTTTCCAAGGCCCCACTCCTTCCACGATGCCTCCACCCCTCTCGCCCTGCAGTGACTCATGGGAGAGGCCTACAACTCTTCTTTCTGCCTTCTGGAGGGATGTTTTGGTTCCCAAGATTGGGTGTGGGCAGAGCTGAGACCACAGGGGATGCATGGCTAAGTCAAACCCCGGGGGAAGACAGTGCTTCCCTGCTAAGCTCCTGCCAGACCCAGAGTCAACCCTCTGGCAAATGAGTCAGAAGCCGGCAGGTAGGGTCAACCCCTGCTGGGTGCCATAGGAGCCTTCACACCAACTGCTAGGCCTGGCTGATGGACAGCTGTCCACACTTGCTTCTTGCTCTCTGAAAGCAAGGCTAAAAAGACAGGCTCAGTCACCCAAGGAGGGGCAGCTCACGTTAGAGGTCAATTAAACTGCAGGTCAGGTGCCCCCAGGGCTAAACACTGGTCTTTTCCTGGCTGGGAGAGGGCTGGGTTTCCACCCCAGCCTTGCCCACCTCCAGGCCCTCCGGGCCCCCTCTGCTTCCTCCTCCTGGCCTTTGGCACGGGGTGGGGCGTGGCATCTGTTCCTGCCTCCCTCCTGGCTCCCCGCTGAGCTCTGGCATTCATCCCCAGGGAGCCAACAATGGCAGCTCCTTTCAAATCCCCACAGAGAAGCAAAGCCTGGACTGGGCTGGCTGGGGCCCTGGCTGGGGACTGGCTCCGAGGCCTTTGATCCCCAGGCTCTCCATAATGCGGCCATTGTGACCCCTGCACACGAGGCCCTTTGTGGGCTCCTTCTCCAGGCCCCAGGCCCCGCACCTGAAAGCCCAGGAACCCCTCCTTGTCATGCAGGGAAGTGTCAGCGTCCAGCACGGCACTCAGGAGAAGGGCCGCCCAGATACCATGGAGGAGGCCTGTGGGAGGCCAGGGCTTCTGATAAATCAAGCCAGCAGCCTGAGTGCCTGCTGAGGGCCCCTGGGCAGCTCGGGAACTTGGAAGGTAGGACAAGGCCCCGCCTCTGACAAACCCACTTTTAAAGTAAGATTCCCTCCCCTCCCCTCCCCCTCTGCTACCGCTGCTCTAGAGGAGATGGCTGTGGGGTGGGGAGGGCACCCACGCTCTCCCTCTGGGGCCCGGAGGGCCCCTGGGTTCTCTCTGAAGCCAGCCTCACGGATTCAGGGCAGGGGCCTGCAGGAAAGCGACTTCTCCAGGACTCAAGGACTCAGGGACCGTGGGACAGGGAGACACACCTCTGAAGTGGGTGACACTCTGCTCTGGCCTGGGATGCCCCTTGAGTCTGAGGTGACCACAGCAGGCCCCTGGGGGGGTGCGGGGCTGTGTGAGGGAGGAAGGAGTGGGTGCCCAGAGCCTGGTCCACACACAGTGTGGCGGGCGTTTGATGAGTGACTTGAAATGAAGGCCGCAGCTGCCCTTGACCACTCCCACCCCCACTCAAGTCCTGGCTGAGCCCTCTGTGGGTGAGGGGTTTCTCGGGCCCACTGTTATTAGTCGTTATTTCGCCATTTTTCTTAGTGCCCTCTTGCCCAGGCTGGGGAAAGGTGACCATCCTCCTCCTGGGGCGGGGCAGAAGGAACCCTCCGACCTGAAGAGGGGGCTCAGAGAGGAGAAGCACCTCAGCGTTTTGCTATCCAGAGGCTTGGTATAAAAAGTCTGGCTGAGGCTACCTTGGACTAAGGAAGAGAAGGGAAGGACATCTCTCGCCTGTCCCTTAGTAAACTCTAGTCCCAAGTGCTGCCGGAGCTAGGGCAGGGTGGTGGCAGAATGGGTGGGGCAGCTGGGGCTTGAATCCTGGCTCCACCAGCCAAGTGGCCTTCATCCTCCTGTGCCTCCCCTGTCAGATGGGAACAGAAGCACCTCCGTGGCGGCACGGTGTCCAGTTCACCTGGCACAGTGCCCGCCCAGGATGTGGTCTATGTCCAGTGGCTTCCCTTGCCCCCCACCATGCTGCAACTCTAAAGCCTTTCAGTCCATTCAGTGGTCCCCCCTCTGCTCACTCACCACCTTCGCGTTCTCCCAGAGGTCTACCCCTCTGCCTGGTGCTGGCCTCTCTCCCTGTTTCCTCACCTGACTCCTATTCCAGCCATGTCTGGCTCCCATCACAGACATGGCTGAAGCCAGAATTAGACAGGCAGTCAGCGTAGTTAGGTAAATCGAGTCAGGTCGGATCAAGGAGGCCAATCTTGAGTGGGTCCTAGAAGTTGGAGACTGTCCCCTGGGGATGGAAATGTGAATGCCTTCAGAGCCCTTCCTCCACCCTGATCAAGAACCTGCCCCTGTGCCAACCTGTTGCTGAGGTAACCTGTCCCAGGAATGGTCCCTCCTACAGAGAACCAGAAGGTTAATAATGTGTCCTTGGCTGCTCCATCCTGCCCTTCCCCCTTCAGCCCACCTGTTTCCCACCTCGGGCCTCCCACCCAGCATTCCTGGGCCTAGTCACATACACAGGAAGGAGAAAGATAAGGGGGGAAAGGCAGGAGAGCAAAGGAAGCCTAGACATATAAAAAGGGCAGAACACCTTCTTGGGATACCAGGACACCAGCTATGGCCCCCTTCTTCCTCCTGGGAGAAGTCTATGCTACCCCTTTTTAAATAAACCCTGCTTTATAAGCTTGCCTCAGCGTGCTTCTCTCATGTTCAAACTTCAACATGTGGGGAAGCAGGGCTCAGGATAAGCAGGGTATCAATGCCTCTTCCAGGAAGCCTCCTCTGGTTTCCTGGCCCAGGGGAAGCTCCTGCTGAGGTTTTGGAGGCCCCTGTGCCTTGTTTGACTTCCTCCCTAGAGGGCAGGATGGGCCCTCTTTGTTCACAGATGCACCTGCAGCACCATGCCAGGTGTCTGGGATAGGGCCACAGGGCGCCACTGTCCTTGGTACAGTAAAGGCTCATACCACCAACTGAAACATTTTCTTGTTGTTGTTGGGTTTTTTTGTTCGTTCATTTGTTTGTTTTTGTACTGAGGATGGAACTCAGAGATGCTTCATCACTGAGCCACATCCCCAGGCCTTTTATTTTGAGTCACTGTCTCACTAAGTGACTGAGGCTGGTCTTGAACTTGAGATCCTCCCACCTCAACCTCCCGTGTAGTTGCAGGTGTGCACCTTGGTGTCCGGCTCCAGCTCTACCTTATAATTTGACAAAATGGATATTATTCTTTCTGTAGATTGAGTCCTCACAGATTACACTTCCAAATCTACTCCACCCACTCCAGTCCAGGTGGCTGAAAGCAGGACGTGGACTTCCAAAGACAAAGGTAGCACCGCAAACGACGTCACACCTTGCCATTGGGGATGACCAGGGTCTGCACTCTCAGGCTTTCCCGGCCGGCCCTTAGCTACCACTCGACATGTGGCTGCCCACAAGGTGCTGCCCTTAGAGACTCATTTCCGTTTGTCTTGTCTCCTCTCTAAAAAGTCCCTGTTCTTCATTGAAGATGCTGTGACAAAGCTGCCTATTAGAAAGCTACTTGCTCCCTGGCTGTCTTCCACGTAGATATGAAATGTAGATGTTAAGAAATTCCTTTTTTTTCTTTCTCTCTGTTAATATGATCTAGGAGTCTCTTCCAACTAAGAACGTAGGAGAGTTACAGAAAAATGACTTTTTCTTTCTCTCCCTGCTCTGGCATTCGGCCCAGAGAGTGGTCAGGGCCCAGCTAATCTGGCGGTGTCCTGACATCTCCCTGGGCCCTCCCCACACTCCTCCCACCAAACTCCATGAGCCAAGCCAGTAGTGGGAAGGTGGGTTCCAGGGAGACCGCAGCAATAGCATGCCGGGCTCAGGGCTGTCATTTCCAGCTCCTGGGTGGGGTGAGAGGAGTCGGGGGTGGGGACCTGGCAGCAGCAGGCTGGGCCAGCACCCTCCTATCTGTGGTGTCTGTGGTTAAGCTGGTGTCTCCAGAGAGACACGACCAGGGCTGGGAAAACTGCCGGCGAAAGGCTCTGCCTTTTTCTGCAGTTGAGAGGCCCAGGAAGGGCAGGAGCCTTTCTGCACTCTGCCTTGGCTTTGAAGCTCAGCTACAACTCCATTTCCACGAAAAGAGGGGCAACCGTTTCCAAATGCAGGTATGCTTCCTGTTCCACACCTCTCTGTGGGTGCCAAGTGCCTGGGCTTGGGTACAGCCAGGCACCATTCCAGTTGCTGGGACAGAACCCTGAACAAGTTCCTGCATCTTAAGGGTTTGCATTTCAGGCCGTCACTGAGGAAGGTCTTGTATTACGAATCCGATCACAGAGCTGTTTCTACCAGGACTGTGGTTTCACTGAGAGCTACTTGAGATTCTATTACCCAGCAATTTCTACTGAGACCATCTAGACTGTGGCCTGAGAAGGAACAGACCTGATTCATCTCTAAGTTCTCCAAGGGACCTAGTACAGGGCCTGATGCCAATATAGCTTCAGAGCCATCAATAGCCAGGATTTGTCCCCACACCCAGGAACCCCTTTCCTTGCAGTGCAGGCCTGGTAGTGCTTACAGAAACAGAGCAGGGGACAGCAGCTCCAGAGCACCTGGCTATGCATGTGACAATCTGGCTCCACATCTGAGCTGCTTTCATCAGTGGGTTTTCCACTCAAGCCTGAGAGGGTGGAATAAGGCAGGGTTTCTGACATCTGATAGAGACATGAATGTCTTTTTTTGTGTCATGAAAAAAAGATCAAAGTCACTGATCAAAGGTGTGGATCAGACAGGCTCCACTATGGAGGAGGCTGGCTCAGTCCTTGGTCACTGCCACCCAGGCTGGGAACATAGTGATTAAGATACACAGGTTTGCACTGACCCACACTGAAAGCAAAGTGCTCAGCGTGCAGTCAGTGCTCGGTACAAGGTAACTGGCATCCGTGCTGCCTAGGCCCCTGGCAATGTGGCAGCTGTGCCCCTTACCCAGTGAGTACGTGGGTCCTGAGAAGCTTCGGTCCCCACTGATGCCCAGGAAAGGAGAAACCACTTGCTTCACCAGCTCCTCCAGCTGCAGATAACCCTCACTTGGACCAGTGGGCTCGTGAACACTCTGGAAAGAACATCCGAGACACACAAAGGTCAGTCCGTGAAAACTGGCCCGCGGACGCGTGTCAACGCATCCCTCCTGCCCTCCTGCCGTGCACAGGCAGTGTGGCCAGCAGGCACCTTCTAGAGACTAGAATAAAGGAAACTGAGGCCTGGCGCCCTCATCCCTTGTCTCAGATCACAGGGTCAGAACAGCACCTGATGAGTTCATGGCGGCCTCTCCCAAGGGGCCCTTCCAAGGCAGCATGGGTGGGACAGACCCAGCTCCAGCTCCAAGGCTAAAGTCTCACTGGTCCCATGATAACCCCACCCACAATGGCGTGACAGTTTGCCTACAGCGCACATGCATTTTATATAAGCGCTTCACATGTATTAATGCAGAGGCCTCCTGACAACCACGGGGGAGGCGCCCCCATCAACCCCCTTCTACAGACCCAGAGAGCTGAAGTCAGTTGCCTGGCCAAGCACAGCTGGTGGATAAAGCCCCGAGCCAGAGCCCAGGCTATCCTACTATCCTACTATCACTTATTAACAAGCTTAAAAAGGGGAAAAGAATATGGGAAAGTCCAGAACAGCACAAGAAAGGGAGAGTGGTTCTAGAGGCAGGCAGATGTTTTGCAGCAAGATGATGAGTCTGTTCAAAAGCCCGGCAGCTCAGGAGTCCTCACAATCAAACCCCGAATAAACACCAACCCTAATAACTCCAAGGGCCAAACCCACAGAGGAGCCTGTAACCAGCGCTTTCTAGAAGCCCAGCGAACTCCTTGGGAATTCAGCTTCTCCCTACAAAGGAGGTGGAGGCAGGCTCTCCTGTGGAGGGACTGGGAGGAAGTGGAGGCCGCCTAGCAAGGGACAGGGTCCTAGGCAGGAAGAAGCCAGGTTCTGGGGGGCTGTGCTCAGCCTGAAAGGTTATCACATCAAATTCTCAAAACAGATTGTCGATTACTTTCCCTTAAATGTAAGAAGATGGCCAGGCAATGAGGCAGGAAGAGCCAACTCCTATAGGCTGGGGGTCCTTCCAGAGAAACAGCTGGACCTGTCCCTTCTCACCTGCATCCCACAGAGATAGGGGTGTGTGTGGGGGTGAGGGGGTTGGGAGTGGCGCAGAGAGGGGCCGCTTAAGAAAATAGAAGGAAGTTGGGGAGGGGCAGAGGATTTGGAGGTTGGGCTGGGAAGGGGTCTGGAGGGAGGAGATGCAGAGAAATAGGTGGTCCTGACACACACCCGGCCAGGCAGCCAGGGTGCTCTGTGCCCTCTGCTCCATACTAGACAGAAGCACCCCGAGACTCAACAGTGGAAATGAACAGGGAAAGCGAACGAGCTCCTCAGCTCAGGGAGACACAGCTGCCCCAGGTGGAGGGAGGCCTTGAGGCAGCAGAAGGGAAAAGGGGAGCCCTGCTCAGGCGCCCCAGGAACCACACCAGGCCTCAAGAGCAGAGCGGTTTCAGCCACAAAACCACCTTGACTGGGCCTCAGAGCCCAGGAAACTTTCCCATTGTCTCTCTCTTGTTTTGTCCTTGACGATTCTCATCTGGGTTCTTCCATGGCCCCTTCCCCCCTAGAATTCCTGAGCACTAACTGGGGAGAGGTGACAGGAAAAGGAGAGGCCGCACAGGTGGGAGGGAGTGGGCCAGGAGCACGTGACGTGGAGCTGGTGGCTGGTTCTCCCAGGACACAGCCTCGAGAGCTGGGCTGGCAGGTGCCCTCGGCCAGGGTGCCGCTCTCTGCCCTCCACTGGTCAGCAGACTGGCTGTGACCATTTTGTCACCCAGAGCAAAGTGAAAATCAAGGTCCCTTCCTCCAAAAGCTATCACGAATGCCGAGTGGGTGACGGGAGTCAATGGAGCCAGGCTCAGGGTCCTGGAAGCACAGGTCACACACCCTTCCCTGCATGGAGGGCCTCCAGGGTCCAGCACATGGCTAAAGTCTCTGGTTCTGCCACTGGCCAGGCCAGCCTGAGCAGATCCCTCTGCTGGCAGAACACTCTGTGTATTGAAGGAGGGGAAGGGTTGGCTCCAAAATACTTTGGAAAAGGGAGAGTTGAAGTCTGAGAAAGGGCTCTTTTTCCTAGCAGTCAGGTGGCTTTGGAGAAATCAGCCCCAGGCCTCATGACCCTGGGGAAATTAGGGGCCTGTGGAGAGAAGGACAATTCTAAGTACAGAGACCCAGGGTTCCCGCAACAGGAATGGCCCCAGGGCAGTGCCACCTGAAGTGCCACTCAGACCCAGGCTGCTGCTTTCAGTCACCATCCCTGTCCCGAGGCTCCTGAGTAAGCCTCTCCAGGAAGCCCTAAGGGAACTGAAGGGTGGTACTGAAGGGATTCTGAACATGGAGGGGGGGCTGCAGGACGAAGGCAGAAAGCAGGGGCCCGGGAGCTGCCGAGCAGTCAGCTGGCTACAAATTAGTATGTGGTCCTGGGCCCCTGAGCCAGCTCCTCTCATCCTCCCTCTCTGCTTGAAACGGAACAAACAAAGGGTAGTCACAGGAGGGACCATTTCCTCGCCTAGCTCTCCAGAAAACTGCCGAGACCCTGGACCTGCTCCAGCCACACTTCTCTCAGCCCAGTGTTGATGGTCACAAGCCTCGTAATCTTTGGGGCCGGGGACCTGGGGTCAGTCTCACTCAGTCTCTTGCTAGTTGGTGCTACCACTAAGTGAACAGTGTTTAGTTAGCACCTACTATGTGCCAAGGACTGGGCTGGGTGCTGGGACACAGGATGAGATGGAAGCCCAAGGATCTGCCTTGATGGAAGGGGGCTTGTGGGTCCAGAGGACAGAGTGCCGTGGGCAGAAGGAACAGTGGACACAAAGGTCCTGCTCACTCCTTCTGCAGAGGCCAAGTTCAATCAGGTGGGAGCTGCACACCTGCATTCCAGCCAATTCCACTCTCCCTCTTCCTATTGGCAGCCCTTCCTCCTCTGGGATTACAGGGAAGGATGTTCCAGCTTAGAGAAGGGAAAGAGAACAGCAGCTGGGGGAGGCAGGTCGGGGGCCCTGGCTGGATGCTCCATGCCTGCTATGAGGGCAGCCTAGGGTCCCCTTCCGCCTGAGGGAGGATGGAACCTGGGAGAGCAGCGCTGCTCTGGGAGAACTGTGTGCCCACCCACAGGAATGGGCTTGCTGAGGCCAGGTTTGGACTACTTGATCCCACTCAAGGTCAAAATCCACCAGGCAAAGAGGTCACCTAGCCCAAGGCCAGCCAATCAGATTCTTTCCTTTGGAGAGGAACCAGGGTGTGCAGTTCTCAATTTTATTACCCCTTACTAGCTGGGGTGATAGACATGTTGGTGAACTTCCTAGGTCTCAGTTTCCTGGTCTGTGATGGGAGTGACAGACAATGCCAACCTCACGAGGTGGCTGATTCCTTGGCCTGAGGCTGCAAACACCAGGGACCAACAGTGTTGGCTCACTGTCCTGTTACTGACTGGGGGTTGGGATCAAGAGACACAGGGCAGCTGTCTGGGTGGTCAGTCTCTTACTTCCGCCTGCCACATGGATCAGGTGGGAACCAAAGCACTGGACGCGACCCCACGGATCGAGAAAGACCAAGAGAGTCTGTGCAAGGCCAGGGAGCATCAGAGAGAAACACGCAGACCAGGTACAACTAGAGGCCAGGAAGTGAAGAAACGCTGGTGGCTTTGCAACTTGACCAGTGTCACCTTGTCACAAACCCCATCTGCCTTGGGAGCCTTCCATTGAGGACCTGGTCTGGCTTGTGCTAGGCAAAAATGGATTCCTTGTAGTCCCCTGCAGCCCACGGCTCCCTGACATAACTGGGGAGTGTCCACTTCCTGAATGAAGGACCACGCTTCTTTCATGCCCCTCTACAATTCCGGCAGTGAGCACAGGACCAGGGACCTAGCAGGGACCCTGTGAATGCACATCAAACAAAGGAACTCAGGGATGTGCCCAAACGAGCTCAAAAGAATTCTCAACTAAGCTCAGGTGCTTGGTCACTTGGTCCCTTCCTGTTAGTCCCACAGCGGCTGTCTCCTCCCTTGGCCTCCCCCAGGGCCTCACCTGCAGGACGAGCAGCATCTGGACGATGGAGGAGGGCAGCTTGGATGGCGGCCCCAAAAGCAGCAAGTCACCCAGCTTCACCTTCAGCAGGACCAGGTCTCGGAAGCCCAGGAGGGAGATCTGGCGGATGGTCAGCTCCTGTCCCTGGAGAGGAGGGAGGAGGGAGGGTGAGAGGTGACAGCTTGCTACATCTGCCCCCAGCCACGTGCAGTGGAGGGCACGAGCTTACGCAGCACCTGGGATGGGGCAGGACCAGAGGTGAAGACCCAGCTCCTGTCCCCTGGAACTAACGCTTTGTTTAAGACAGGACAGGGTCTGTCCCGTTTAAATGCCCCCAAGACAACACAGACACCTAGAGCAGGGCCACGCGGTCAATGCCGTCAATGGTTAGGAAGGAGGACCCAGGAAGTGGGGGAGACACCAAAGCTCAAATCCACTTCCCCACGTCCAAGGCTGCTTCCCCAACCTTGTCTGCTAAGCGCTGAGGTGCCCACCAGGTGCCAGGCAAAGGAAACAGCAGTCCTCAGATGCTTCCATAAGATACTAGATTTCTTACGGAAATCCAAGTAATGGAGGAAGGAAAATAATTGGAAAAGTAGAAGGGAATCTGTGGAAGGGGCAGGCAAGGGATGACAATGATCATCGCACCAGAGCTGGCGTTTGGTAACCTCCGACTACATGCTGGGTGTGAGAATGGACACTTCAGGTGGAAATAACACATTTAATGTGTGGTTTGTGACTCCCCCAAATCATAGGTTGAAATCCTAACCCCAAGGTCAAGGTGTTTGGAGGTGGGACTTTTGCCAGGTGATAGGATCGTGAGGGTGGAGCCCCTTAGGCATGGGATTAGTACCTTTGTGAAAGAGGCTGCAGAAAAGCCCCGAACCCCTTTCACCAAACAAAGCACAGCAAGGAGGCACCACAGGCCCGCATAGACATTTACTCTGCCTGCACCTTGATGTTGGACTTTCAGCCTCCAGAACTGTGAGAAATGCACTTCTGTGGTTAATAATCGACCTAGTCTGTAGTGTTTTATTGTAGCAGCCTGAACAGACTAAGAAAACCGTCCACAGAGATAGGTACTATTATAAAATCCATTTCACAGATGAAAAATGATAAAAATTCAAATTCAAATTATTTTAGAGCTCCCGAAAACTGCCAAGACAAAGAGGAAAAGAGCTAATTTCTCAGATTCTCCCTCTCATACCCATGCTCATGCACACACACACACGCACACTCTCACCCAGCACATGTCAAAAATGTCTTGCTCCTGGAATAAGCCAGAGGTATCATTCCAAACAGGATGTAGCAGTCCATGCCCCAAGGCTTAAGGAAATTTTATACTCCCTGTAACCCTTGGGGTTTATAGGAACCCTTGCCATCGCTGCAGCCCCTCCCCCAATGAACACACGTGACCCCCTCCCATGCTATGTGGGCTCAATTCGACCACCTGGGACCTTCCTGATCAACCCCAGTGCAGCGTCCCCCATGTCTTGGGGTTTCCATTTCTCAAACCACGTCCCAGCGCTCACAGTTACTTGTGCCTTGCTTCATTTCCGGGTCTCCTTTCCCTGTGCCAAGGTAGGAGAATGAGGCCAAGTCCCATCCACAGCCCTGAACATAGGAAGGCACTCAGGGAGGAAGCAGGCCTCACACAGCTCACGTGCACACCCCGAGTCCTGACTCCCGCCTAGTGCCTCTGACTTGGTGTTCCCAGAGTCGGGGTCTGAATTGCTGTTAATTTTGGTATAAACTTGACTGGCCCTGGGTGCCCGGATGAAGCATGGTTTCTGGTGTGTCTGGAGGGTGTTTGGTAAATGCTGGAGAGAGAAAGCAGGCTGCTCTCGCCCACCTGGGTGGGCTCCGTCCAATTAGCTGAGGTGCCGAATAGAACAAAAGGAGGAGGAAGGGGGCACTGGTCCTCTTGCTTCTGGCCTAAGTGGGAACATGGCATCTGGCCTCACCTTTTCCAGCCCTTGGATATACTGACGCCAGCAGCCCCTTGGTCCTCAGGCCTCTGGACTCAGACTGAACTACACCCCTGGCTTTCTGGGTCTCCCATTAGCAGAAGCAGACTGTGGGGCTCAGCCTCCGCCATAGTTTGGATCTGGAAAGCTTCCAAAGGCCACAAATTGAGGGCTGGGTCATCAGCTTGGGGCATGACTGGGAGGAGGCTAAACCTTTAGGAGGCGGAGACCAATGGAAGGAAGTTAGGTCATTGGGGGACACGCCCACGAGGGGATATTGGGGCCCCAGCACTTCCTGTCTCCTCTTGGCTTCTTGGCCACCATGAGGTGAACAGGCCACCTCTCCCACTGCTCCTGCTGCCATGACATACTGTGCCACCACCATCCCAAAGGCAGCATGGACCAAAACCTCTGAAACAAACAATCTTTCCCTCTTTTAAGAAAGTTGATTATTGCAGGTATTTTGTCACAGAGGTAGAAAGCTCACATGGCCCCATAGCCACCGCAGCCAATGCTTCATGATACCCACACGTCACCTACTGACAAGGGTGCTTCTGAGAAGTGAGTCAGGCAATTTCATCACTGTGCAAATATCAAAGAGTGTACTTACACAGACTAAGGTGGCCTGTTCCCAGGTGATATCATCTCACGGGACCGCCACAGTACATGCAGTTTGTTGTTGGCTGAAATGTTTCTCAGGAGTGTGTATGTGTGCGCGCGTGCCTGCATGCGCGAGCA